TTATTGTGTATCCCATTATTTTATAGTGGAAGGCCTTTTACTGGTCTAGGTCTCGGGATTTTTCCCTTCACATGGTTTTCCTCGTTAACAAAAATCTGGTGTTAAATTTATATTCTTGCCAGTGTGTGTGAGTTGTTGGAGCTAGTCATTATTCCCATCATTTTAATTCTGCACATTGAGGGATTGATATTATTATTTCCGCTGCTTGTGTATTGTATTGGTTCAATCCCCAACAGATTCTACAAATTTTTGGTTCTAACTAGAACAAGAACCATTTTAAGTTCTTGTAACACCGTTGTAAATGCTGGGAAANATTGTATTGGTTCAATCCCAACAGATTTAAATGGCTATTTCCTTGTATAGTTTGTTTTTTTTCCCTTGTATATGTTAAAATTTCTTTAATTCAATTCAAGAATTATGTAGCCTTGAATAAATTTATGCATATTGTTGAGAATTGATTATCGTTTCATTCTTTTAACTTTTGAGTATATTACAGTAGAACGAATTGTTGGATTTGTTATATCCCATGTCCAATAAAATCCAATCAATAGAAAGTAGTTGTGGAAAATTATCTTCAATGTTGTGTTAGGTCTCTTAAACTGGAAAATAATTGTAGTGTGAGATTTATGCTCTCATGTATCAATAGCTTGTTTGGTAGGAATTTTTTGGAGGAAGAATTGATTTTGAATAGTGATATGATGGAAAATGTGTGGTTGAAAAAAAAGAAAAAATTATTGATGTGATGGAAAATATTATTTTATTGAAGAATGTGAGGTTGAAAAAAAAAAGAATCGATTTACTGTAGAAATTGAGAATCCGCCTACCCACCCCCCCAACACAAACAGGGCCTAAATATGGAGAAGGAGAATCATGAGGGAAAGCTCAGCGACCATAAAGAAATATTTTAATGTTCAATAACCATTAAAAAACATGAGGTAAAATTTAGTGAACCTCGATAGCAAGATTGGTCACATGCTTGATTTCACTGGTCATATCTAATAGAATCGATCGAAATGATAAGCGAGAATCACTTTAAAAAGTTGAGTGGCTATGGGGAAAAACTTTGAAGTTCAACAAACAAGTAGCAATATATTAGAAATTTCAGTGACCAAAGGAATAATTAAATTTTGATTAATTTTATAAAAGCATTTCTTCTCGATAAAAGAGCATTTAGATGAAGTTGATACAACGTAAATCCCTCTAAATGTTCTTTCCGAAGAAGAAGTTTTCTTAAAAATTAGTTTCCTCACACTAATTAAGTTAGTTCATACAAAAAGATCTTCTATAATAAGAGATAAACGTAAAATAGAAGTTATATCAAATGAATCCTTATCATTTACCTCTGTTCGTTCGTCCGACACTTAGGTTAAAAGTAATGAATTATATCTTCCTTAAACAAACCGTTTATGTACAATTATAATTATCCATATAGACCTGTTTGTTTCGGATTAAAATTAAATTTTAATATAAGTTAAAGTCAAACAATTAATATTAGCTAGATCATTTATGGGTTCTACAATTTTTCAACCACATACTTCAAAAACTTTTATCACTTTTATCACAATCGACTGAAAATCTAATTTTAAGTCTCGCCAGACACCAACAAAATCTCTTTAGTCTCCATCTACGAATTCCCTTTAGGTCCCCACTTGGATCATTCCTATCCTAGCAAACTTCTTTGGATGGTTTTGGAATTTGGAGTGTGTTACCCCAACTTTAATAAATACTTCATAGAGAAGCAACTCCAGCTCGACTTCGATCCCATTTTTCCTTGAATCTTTTGTCTCGTGGATCTGAAACATTCCGATTACTTCGTAAAATTAAAGAGAGATAGCTTGCAGCTGTATGGGTACTCACGAAGAAGAGAGATTGCTCTTGGAACAGGGATTTGCAGAGGTCTTTTTTCATCCTTTTATTGCATATTGTTGACGGATAAAATTACTTTCTTGTTTTTTTTTTCCTTGAAAATATTCATTACGACTTAATATTTCTTACTGTCAATCTAAATTTTTTATTTGCGTTTCGTTGCTGTATTATGGTTATCTAATTTGTTGGATTAAAAGACCTCCAATCTTAATCTTAACCACAACAAATAAAATAAACCTTTAAAATAAGGAAACGGAACGTGTTGAGAATTTAAAATTATTTATACGTTTAAACTCTGACAAGTTCTGTTTGGAGCTTCTGTTTTATGAAGTTGATTGGGAATTGAATTGATATTCTAATTTTGTTGAACACAGGTTGGGTCATTTAATTCATTATTATTGAGTGTTGACGAATAGAAATATTTGATATGTTTTAAGTGGAAAAAATTCTGAATAATGCAAAAGTTCATGTCCTACATTTTCTGGGCCGTTCAAATGTTACAGTTTGCTAAGAAAATTGGACAAGTAGCGTGGACGTTGACAGAAGTGTAGATTAAAGGATCATAAATTTATGATAACTCCATTTTTGATCTAAATGAGTTGTTATCAGATCTGTCAAAATATGAAGAGAACAGGATTAATTTGATATTTATATTCATTAAAGCCTGCTGTTTTGCCCCTGTTTGATTGGCCATTATTCATAAAAAAAAATAAAAGAATAATGTTTTGAATAGTGATTTTTAGGAAAATATATTATTATGGTTAAAAAATAGGAAACATTTTAGGTTTACGTGCATCATATTTTATTGAATGAATGTGTGGTTAAAACTGAGTAGGGAGAAAAAATGGTTTTTAAATAATGTTTGTAAAACA